TCAGTCTCACCAAGCTCTCTTTCTGGTGTTTGAGGTATTTTGGATTGAAGAAGGTTCTTCAGCCTTTTCATGGTGATGGGAGTGGTTGCCGGTGAGTGGCACATCTGTCAGGTGGGATAACAAAGTTCCTTCCTGCTTGCTGGTCACCTTGCCTGTCTCCAATGTCTGTGCCAGTTAATCGCACACAGAGAGCAGCCTTTGGGTTAATACCCTAGGCAGCCATGGGCAGGGTTGCCTTCGGGATGGTGGAAGGCACTGGCAGGAGTCGAAGGCCACCAGCAAGGACAAGGCACCTTCGTGCCTCCCGGTCTCTGCACCCGTCTCCTCTATCTGTGCCAGTCAACTGCATGCAGGGAACAGCCTCCGGGTTAATCTCCTAAACTGCCATGAGTGAGGTGGCTCTCAGGATGGCCTAGGGTATGGGCAGGGATATCAGGCAATGGCATATGTTCTGCCACGAGAACAAAGCCCTTTCGTGCCTCCCGGATTCTGTGCCCATCTCCTCTGTGCTGTACAAAGGTGCACAGGGAGTAGCCTCTGGGTAAACCCCAAGCTCCCGTAGGTGGGGCGGCCCTTGGGATGGCCTAGGGCACTGGCAGCAGTCACTGGTGAGTGGTGTGTGTTCTGCTGTGAGAAGACCCTTCGTGCCTCCTGCAGTCTGCACCTGTGTCCACCGTCTGTACCAGTCAACCATGCACAGGGATCATCCTCTGGATCTGGGCCAGTTAGCCTCGCGCAGGGAGAAGCCTCTGTATTAATCTGTGTGGCTGCCGTAGGCGGGGCTGCTCTCTGGCTGGTCTGCACCAATGGCAGGGACAGCCGGTTTGCTCATAGGTGTTTAACGGGAAGAAGGAACGGCAGGCTGCTTATCACCTTGAGGGCCTGCAGAGCTGCATTGCCAACTAGAGGGATAGGGCACCTGAAGTTCCTTAAAGTTTCTAGAGTGCTGGGCTGAATGTGCCAGGACGATTTTGTTCACCTGTTAAACCCTAGTCCCTTTAAGACTTTTAAAGTGCCTGCTTTTCTTTTGTCCCAGGGCAGTCAGCTGTGTGAACCTGTTTACAGTCTTAGTCTCAGATTTTACTTTTCTGCTCCTCTAATATCCAGAGAACCATGCAACGTGTGTCTGTGCTCCTGATGCAGATTACTAGGGCTGGTTATTCAGCAGTCCTGTGCTTTCACTCCCTCCCCACTCAGATTCTTTTCCTTCCACCAGTGGGGTGGGTGAAGTGCTTGGGTCCCACCAGTTCATGGCTTTGTATCTTACCCTTTTCTGTGAGATGTTGAGTTCATGCAGATGTAGCCTAGCTGGTGTACTGTATCTTGTGGTCCCTCTTTTAAGAATAGTTGTATTTGCTGTATTTTCAAAATATATATGGTTTTGGGAGATTTCAACCACCCTACTCACACCGCCATCTTTTCCTCTCCTCTACTGCACATATTTAAAGGTCCTAAAACCCAAAACCTAATATATACATAGATTTGAAAATATTCTGTGTAAGTCCAACTTTAACTAATTCAGCTTAGCTGTCCTCAACTATGAGCATCAGTCTGAATAACTGAAGTTTTATTATATCTAAATACATTAGTCTGAATAACTTTCATCATATTCAATACTGTATCTAATGTCAAATACTGTAATAAAGGCCTGTTTATAACCCAGGGATATAGAAAGTTCAGTTCATCTCCAAAGCTTAGATTAATCTCAGAGAAGAGATAGTAGCAACTTGTGCACAAACTCTAACTCAGAACAAATCAGGTTATTTCACAAGCCGTTGGCTTCCCTATTCCAGTATAAAATTAACCATTTATCATAGAAAATATATAGAAATGTTTTCCTTACAGTCGGCCTTTTAGTTAAAATACTATAGTGTATATGTGAGATGAGATATGTATTTTAAGAGTCATCATAATGTTTTATCACAATAGTAATGATTTATATTTGAGGACATATATGGCATTTCAAAAACAAACAACATAGTTACTCTAATGCTTTTTATTTTATTTCTTTAGAAATCAGTCATCAAATTCATTTAGAAATTCATTTGTTATCATCTTGCAAGAAATTAAAGCTACTCATTTACATTAAACATCATCAGCAAAAAGTATATTTTAATAGTTTATGTATCTAATTAAAGTAATATAAATACATTTCTATAAAAGATTTTTAATGAAGTTGTCTTTCCTAGAATGTCTTTACTTTGAGAAATACAGTAACTTTATTTTGGCAAAAAGGACATTAAAGTTTACTTACTAGAATAGTAATCCACACAGTAGTGGCCTGGGATTCTAAAAGAGTTAGTGTAACTTCTCTACAGTAGTTTACTTACTTAAGTAATCTGACACAATTTATGTTCTTGCTCACATAATTTACCTAATAAATTGAAACTTTGTTTTTTTTTTACTTAGTTTCAGGGACTTACCTGAAAAACAAACTACCCAAAATTAGTCTTGGTAACTAAAAAGCAACAATGGAGAGACATTCATATCCAAACACACACATAAATACTTTCAATAAATACACTGAATTACAGCATCATGAATAATGTACTGTGAAATACAAAGAAATCATTTGGCTCACTCATTTATGTGTTATAAGTTATACAATAGCTGTGTATGTTTCTTAACACAGCAAAGCTAAAGGAGCCATCACTAAGCAAGCTGAGTGATAATTTAATATAAATCTCTAGAGTAGTATATTTTAATGTTTAATGAACTAAATCTAGAGTAGTATATTTTAATGTTTAATGAACTAAAAATCTAGATTAAGTTCAGCAATTTATCATATGAATAACCCTTTTGATTCTCTGGAGATAGGTGACTAAGTAAGAGAAAATTTCCTTTTGAAAGAAAGACACTTTATAGAAATTGATGATGTCATAATCATAAAAATACTGGCAATTTTGAGTAATGGTTTTGTTAGAGACTAGTATCTCAATTTTACATTTTTACATCTTTGGAAAAATTGGTGTTCAACTTTTTTGCACTGTACTAACACTGCCATCTCCTGACTATTAAGGAGAACTACATATCTCCTTAAAACATTCCCCAGTGACTAAAGCTTAGCATTGTACCTACTTTAATAAGTATGGAAGAAATTCATATTTGTTGAATGATGATTATGTAAAGGACACTTCAAAAATCTCATTTTATCTCGTAGCAACTTATAAAATAGCAATATTACAGAAGGTATGTTTAAGCCATAAAAAATTAAATACTTGCCAACGTGATGCTATTAAATTAAAGAGCTATTTTTAAAACACTCACGGAGGCCTCTATTAAGACTTTATTGAGTTCACCTGAGTTACTGCAAAATAGTTTCAAAAAACAATAAAACTGTATTAGCTTGAAAGTGTTTGTTTGATATTAGGCTATCCACAGTAAATAAACAGGCAGCATAGCACAGGTTCTGGGTTCAAATGTTGATTCGGTTGCTTATTCGCTAATTGACCTGACACATATTACTTAGCCTCTCTGTGCCTTAATTTCACCATCTGTAAAATAGGAATGATAATAATTATACTTACTTCTTAGGGTTGTTATGAAGATTAAATGAGTTGATATTAATGAAGTACTCAGAATAGTACCTGGCACTTAATAAGTGCCATGGAAGTATTTTGATAGTCAGAATTTATATCCTTTTACTATACTAGTAGATCAAAAAAATATCAAACACTCCTTTATTGATTAGAAAAACTAGTTTCCCCAACATCACCAGTAATTCATCAAGTTTTATCTACTAACAATTTTAAAGAGTGCCTTTGGTCAAGGTCCAATGAGCTAAAAGAGGAGACTTTAGAGTACACGCCAGAATATACATAACTGCAGATATGTAAAGGGTTGCGGTAAACAGACTTCCACCATTACCGACCAGGGTTCTGCTTAGAATGCCCTTCCCTTTTTCCCTATGTCTTTTATTTCCTCATTACCCCTTTCATATTGACCAGTAACCTGAGGCTTATTAAATGGATTCAGTAATTATTTGTTGAAGGATTAAACTTAACACAGACTTGCTAAGACATGTAACGTTTTTGTTTTGGTCATATAGTATAACTTCCAAAGATATGTTACACTCCCATATAAGGAAACATATCAATGTGCATAAAGACCCACTTTTATCAAACAAAAAAAAATTTGAAATATAATTCTATTTATTATTGACATTACATATAACTTAGCTTAGAACTATGAATTTAGATAAAATTATTATTATTAGATAAAAATTAGGCTTTGAGAAACAGAACAGGTGTACAAAGACAACAGAATTTGCTATTCAAGGAGCAGGAGCTTATTTACATTGTTCATTTGAGTCAGAAAACCCAATAATGGATTCTGATTTGTACTGAAGACTATTCCAATGTTGATGACTGTTGTTTGCAAATACAGCAGACCTTAACCACAAAGAGAAAATATTACAATATTTACAAAGATATACATAGTAAAATTTTATTAAAACCCCACTAACTAGAAATATGGGGAATTTCCAATTTTTTGAGCTTTTAGTTTAGCTAAGATGAAAGATCATCTTAATAAATTTATTAAGATAACAAAGAGAAAAGAAAATGGAAGGAAAATGCATTCAAACATTTTTAGAACCATGTAAATAGCATTTATTTACACAGAAACAGTTAAATGCTAATTGCAAATATGTATCAACTATTGAAAAATACCTAACGAAAGACCTTGTGTGGGCAATTCTTTTAAAGCACTACTACATATTGCTATGTCCAACAGTATAGCAAACATTCACCCTCTGGTAAAACATTTGGTAAATCACTCAGATTGATCTACTTCTCATTCTTAATTATTCTGCATTACTGGAATTTAATGGATATACCTGGATCATATTATCTGTACCACATGCATGTGGGAAATCAAGATAAAATCACACATTTACTATAATTAACTACAGAGTTATACTCTACCTTATTAACACAAAACAAAAATGATAAAATCAAAATAAATAATTACAAAGTAAATTTTATAATTTAATAAAGTACCTTGAAATATTCTTTTCTAATCTGTTTGCTCCGCTTCCTTTCTTCACTCTGCCAGATTATAGGGTGAGATTCTGGCCAGTGTTGTTCACCTATTCGATCCTTCGGATTTTCTAAGGCCTGTAATGATAGAATTTCTTTTAGCTCAATAATTAACAGTATATTAGATATAATAGTAATTTAATTTCCTCTTACCTGCCATGTAAGGGGTGATAATGGTGAATTAGCTTCATCTGCTGAAACACTAAAAAATTAAACATACCTTAATATGTTAAAGTACTTAGAATTACCTTAGGTATACATTATGAACATTATAAAACTGTATTTTTAAAATAAGAAATCTGAAGAATTTACCCATGCTCATGCTTTGAACTAAAAAAATAAAACTTAAAATTGACAGGAACATATTTAAATGCCTGATCACTTATATCCCTTAAAAAAAACACCAAAAAGGTTTATTTAATATCACTTTTTGCATAGGACTACTTTAAGAACTTTTTAGGGGCCAAAAGAAGTATCTGGAGACATATAATCAAAGAGCAGACAGGATATTTATTACATTAAAATCATTCCCAAAAACTTAGAAAAAAAAGGCAAACACAATTTCTTTAGACAAATTTATTTTGCCTAAATGCCAAAGAGCTTAGGGGAGTAATTCTTTTTTGCCCATTGACTGACTGATTATAAGTCTCTAAACCTTTGTTGTGACACACAGGGACTATGGTAGAAATTCTTCACATCTAGTTTTTTTGCAGGGTAAAGTAGACCATGCATGCTGTTATTAGGTAGTAGATTTGAACAAGAAGCTCCTCTGGAATAAATAAACAAAATGCACACTTGAGCTGCTATTATTCAATACTGTTATAGAACTTCCCTGTAGTAGAGTAAGAAATTTCAAAATTTATACAAAACATGATTTACCCAAGATAAAAAAAAACACAAAAATCTATTACTACTAAGAAAAGGTTAGCAGTTATAGAACTATATACAAAGTGAATACCTTTCCTATATATCCTTTATAACCAGTTATAAAATATATTAGGAAAAATCTCATTCATCAAAGGAAGGAAAATTGAAAAATGCCTAGGAAGAAACTTAACTAGACATGCACAAGACTTAAAGAATTACATATGTCTAGTAAGAGGCTGGAATAACTGTAATATTCTTGGACAGAGAGACTAAATATTATAGGTATGATTCAAATTAACTGACAGGTGAAATGAACTATAAAAAAAAGGAAGCAGCATTCTTGGGCTTGTTTTAGAAATTTGTTAAAAGAATTTAAGTTAATTTGAAAGAATGGATGCTCAAGAAGAGATAAGTGATATAATAAAGGGGACTTCCCAACTAAGAAATTACATATATTCCATTAAATTAGAGTAATAAAAGAGTACTAGCTCCAGAATCTATATATTTCTCAGTAGAAGACGAGTATAGACCCACAAGTATAAAAACTTATGAAAGAAGTGGAATTTAAAATGATTGTGGAAATGGTAAATTATGCAACAAACTGTTGAAACAATGGTTAGTCAATTGGAAAACACACACAGAAAAAGGGAAGAAAAAGACGGAAGAGAAGAAGAAAAAGAAGGGAGGAGAGGAAGGAAAAAATAGATTCCTACCTCTTATCAAATAAAAAAATTAATGAACTGAAAGACTTAAATATAAATAAAGATAAAATCACATAAGTATCTGAACTACATGGGCAGTAATTTTTTAAATGCTGATGCACAAAGAACACATGGAAGAACTAAATATTGATTAAGTATATAAAATGTAAAAATCAGACTTTGCATCTAGCCAAGAACAGTGACAAGATTTATAACCTGACTGAAAATACTAGAGGAACAGATAAAATACGTAAAATTATGCTTTCTGAGACACTATCACACCAAAACGAAAAAGCATTTATCCCTTAGAGAGGTAACAAACAAGACAAACCCCACAACTGAGTCAGGTTGCCGCAGGAAGAGTTTCCAGGTCGCAACCCAGAGAGAGGGAACTAAAGCGGGGCCTAGGGAGATGCCTGAACTGAAGAGACAAGAGCTGGGAGCCAGGGAGAAAAAGGTGGATGGCATCAACAGGACAAAGTAACAAAGAGAAGAGCAATGCACAGAGAAAGAACTTAAGAACTCTAGAGAGGCATCCTTCAAATTTTCAGCTGAGTAATTTTGATTTAATAATATTATAATATTGTTATAAGGTTCTTACGCAGTGTCTGAAATGGAGTATCACTTGAAAGTAGACTGTGACAAGTATTATACTTTAAACCCTTAAACAATCACTAACATAATGTAACAAAAGTTTATAGCTAATAAGAACACAAAGAAGATGAACAGGAATTTAAATATATAATTCAAAAGACAGCTTCAGAGAATAGATAAGACGAAAATTAAACATAACAAGATGGTAGATTTAAATCCATCAATAACAACAATTCCATTATATATAAATGATTCTAACACTGCAGTTAAGTGACATTGTCAGATTTGATTAAAAAAAGAAGACACTACCATATGCTAACTACAAGAAATCCACTTTCTCCATAGATACAAACAGGTTAAAAATAAAAGAATGGAGAAAGCTATATCATGCTACCACTAATCAAAGAAAGCTGAGGTAACTATATATCAGAAAAAGTTTATTTCAGAGAAAAGACTATAACCAAGAATATTAAAAAATTATTTCATAATGACAAAGGTATAAATTCACCAAAAGGACAACAAAGAAGTATATACTCAAAATTCCAGATGGTAAAAAAAGTGTAATTTTAGAATGTCAGACAGTATTAAGTTCTATGGAGAAATATAAAACACTATTGGAAAAGGTACAAAAGAGTGAGGGAGGCATGCTCTTTTATACAAGCTGTTTAGGGAATCTGAAGGCAAAGAAATAAGCCATATGGTTATATGAGGGGAAAATCATGCCAAGCAGAGGCAAATGCCTTGAGGGGGTAGGAATGCCTGATGTACTGATATTCAACAAAGGGGCCAGTATAGTTAGAGAAGAACTAGCCAAGAAGAACAAGGCAAGAGAGGAGGACAGTAGAGAGCCAAAGAATACAGAGGTTTGCAAGTCCTTCAAAGACTCTACTTTTTATTCGCACTGAGATGGGAAATCAATAGAGAATTATGGAGAATGACATGATCTGACTGACATCTTAAAAAATACCAATCTGATGCTTTCTAGAAAACAGACAAAAAGATAGCAAGGGCATTTCAGGAGGCTGTTACAATAAGTAAGAGATGGCTAGGGATAGGACAATAGGTGTGGAGGTGGTAAGATGTGATCATATTCTGATTATATTTTGAAGGCAGAGTTAACAAGATTTGTTAATGCATTAGATATGGAGTATGAAAGAAAGTAAAAGGTTAAAGATAACAGGTTTTTGAGTTGAGCAACTAGAAGGATTGAGTTGACTTTTTTCTGAAATGGGAACAAATTCAGGAAGAACAACTTTAGAAATTCAAGGAGGGAGTGTGGTTAAGTGTGGTTTTGATAAGCTACATATGCCTATTATATGTCCAAGTGGAGGTGTTGAGTACAACAGGCTATATAATTCTGCAGTGTAATATGTACACACAAGCAAATATTCATGCACACATAGAAAAGGGTCCAAAGGGGAAAAGAGCAAAATATTTTGACTTGTAATTACTGGGGAGTGGGATAATAGGTGATATTTACTTGTTTTTTCTTTGTGTTTGCTAAATTTTCCCATTTTTTAACAATAAACCTATATTAATCTCTTAATCAGTAAAAAATTAAATTATTTTTTGTTTTGTTTTTAAAGAAGGAATTGGGTGATTGTTTTAGAAGTGAGAAAAGTAGCAGTAATAATTCTGTGAAGGAAAGGCCAGAATTGGGTATAACAGTTTTGAGTTTTGGTGAGTTGGAACTTTCTGAAGGGAACGTTAGGAACCTGGGGAAGAAGCTTAAAAGGGAAATGAAAGAAGCTAGGGGGAACGTAGTAATAGAAACTTCATAAGAGTGAATATGTAAGTTAATGGAATCAGTATTCAAATAGGGAGTGGTTAAATCCAATTAAATGAAATTTGAAATAGATGAATATTTCTAGACTTAGGTATAAGAAGTCATCTTACACCTGAACTAAATTCTGAAAGCCTAAGTGAAAAAAGGAAGAAGAAAGGACAATCCCAGTAAAGACACCAGGATATAAATCATGGACATGTGAAACCATGCTAGAATAAAGAAAAGAGGTCTGTTCCTAACAGAAAAAGGTGCCTCTGGAAGAGTGCATGAGATAAAGTTCTCAAGGTAGGCAGAAACTCATTCAACCTCGTAAGTTAAGCCAAACATCTTAAGCTTTACCCTAAAAGTTATAAAAAAACAACATAATATATAATAAGATAATAAATGGGGGTCACACAGTCACATTTATGCTTTAGAACCATTGCTGCTATATCAAATAAAGAAGACAGATTTAAGATACACAAAATGTTACAAAGGAAGTCTGTATTAGGACTGCTACAGCAGTCCAAGTTGAAAAAAATGAGGCCTGAACCAACACAGCTGCACTAAAATGGAGAAGCTAGGATAGATGCAGGTACTGCTAAGAAGTCATAATTTTCTGCGACTCATTGGGTTGGGAGAAGTGCATATGAGAGAAGAGCATACAATAATTCCAAAGTTGCTGACTTGGGTAACTAAGCAGTGGCACATTCACTGAGGCAAACTAAATAGGAAAAGAAATTGAGAGGTAAAATAAATTCAAATTAGACTTTGAAGTGCTTAGGAAAAGAAAAGACACCAGTCTTATGAGTGAATCTGGAGGAAGCAAAGTGCTCATTTTACTCTAACTTAAGACTTGAGGTTCTAGAACCAGACAACCTGGGTTTGAACACTGACTGTACCAATAAATAGCTGTGTGACCTTGAGCAAGTTATGGTAATTTCTGAGCCTCAGTTTCCACCCCTATAAAATGGGGATAACAACAGTAACAACTACATAGAATTATTGTGGGGCTGAAGTGAGATAATACATTTAAAGCACACAGAACAGTATGCATACAACAAGCATTCTACAAATGTTAATTCTGTGTGTACTTCTGTACCTATCCCACAGCCTTGGACCTTTATATTCCCATAGGAATGACTCAGAAGTTGAGTCTCATGCAAATTTTCAAACCACCAAAGATAAATAGAAACTTTCAAGGTCTTCTAGTTCTTTGGAATTCATGTCTATACACTTAGACAATGGAATGATACAGAAGAATTTAGTAAAACT